TGGTAAGAAAAGTGATTCCTAGGATGAGCCCTTCTCCAAGACACAAGCAGCAGTTAACCCAGTCACATTTTGTCTCTTTAATTGATGTTGTATAACCTCTTTGTCATGTTTATAAAAAAATGTCTATTTAACATTAGACTTGGTTTTTGAAAGTGCACCATTTACACAGAAGGTTAAAATCACATTAGATGATAGAGCATATTTTTCCATACCCCAGAAAAATCATATACTACATATAAGTCAGAGTTCCAAGTTTTACTAGCATAGAAATATCAAAAGACCCAGCATCTTTTGGAAGCTATATAAAGAACTTTCTGAAACCCAAAGTAGACTCCCATTTGTCTAGAAAAGAAACAGCTTAGGTGCCTTTTTTAAATCCACAAGTCTAGTGTTATTCTGGAGCAGGTTCTTTAAATGTAGCTCACGGGCAATGAGGAAGCCATGTCACTGGACTGTTTAAGAAAATCAAGACAGCATAGTCATTTTCCTCCTCATACTGTGTAGGTGGATACAAACACTTATATCCCTGGGAAGCATTGCTGCAGTTTCACAAGGTCAGTTAGCAATTCTCATGAACCTTGATGTACTGAATGCTTAAACAATTTAGGCATCATGAAGAATTACATACTGTATGTGTCATAAGATGGGATTCTGTAAAAGCACTTGATACCTAAAAAATTGCCATGAAAGAAGAGAGACCCAGAATTCAAAGTAATGTGAATCCAGTTTTCTTTTCCCAATTATTAGTTGTTGTTTACATCCTAAAATCTTGGGGACATTCAATGATGAAAATAAGCAATGTGAATCTTTCCCTTTTTCTTCCTCTAATCACATCCTCTGTTTCAATGGCACTGTTATCATCAGAAATATGACAAACAATTTTATGAACCCCTAGCAGCTATGGAAACAGGGGAAATAGAACTCTGGGGAATATCAATTAACTGCATAACGGAAAATCTTCCCTTTTCCTGCCTCAATGTAACCCATGTTTTTATTTATTAAATTACACATTTCATCCAAGTGAAATAATAATCCAAAAAGCACCATCACATATACCAAAGTTATTTCCACATCTGTCAAACCTGAGGATCTGGCCACTTTGAGACATTCGAGACATTAATTCTGTACGAGTACTTTCTTGGCCCCTCTCTTTGACTTTGTCATTTTGTAGTGAAAGGACTTTATTATGCACTCTGCATTGCTGGCAAGAACAAGAGCTGAACTGAACCCTTCAGTCAGTCAATGAGGCCAGAAAGAGGGTCCTTTAGACCATCAGCATTAAGAACCTTTCAAAGACAATTTGTTTCGTATATTGCCCACTTGGCTGAACCTTGGCACCGTCAGCCTGCTCACCTATGCTGCCCACAGGAGTGTAGGGGTCCAGGGGAAGGGGGACTCTGGAGTAGTCATGGAAGCACAGAACTTGTTAGAATCTCATACTGCATAAGACTTAGGCAGAAGGGAGGAGCAAAGACCTTCCAGATGAGGGGAAGGACAGGAGACAAAGGCTGGAAGATGGAACTAGCTTGGGTAGTCCCTGCCAGTTCCCTTTGCCCGCCTATTTCCAAACTGGTTCACTTGTTACTTCACAATAAAGAAGCTGGGCATCCATTGTCTTTACCTAATCTATTCATACTAACAAAATGTTATAATGACAAAATACTCCAGATTTACAAATCCTTTATAAAAACCCTTGCCTGTCTTCTTGACTGAAGCGTTTGTAGGAGATTGTCTTCTCACAAAGAATGTCTCAGTTGTCTCTGTCACTCCTTTTTTTCATCTTTCCTCTCCTGCCACGTTCGTTAATTCCACTGGTTGATTAGACAGTGACTGCTCCTTTTCCTGTGATAAAAGGAAGCTTCTGTTTGGTCAAGATCTAGAGAACTTTTCCATTTTCAACCATGAGTCATGTCTTCAGTGGTTGACATATTTTACTTATATTAGCATCCATTAGTGAACTACATCAACAGAAATTTTCTTGACTAGACCAATAGCAAAGTGAGAAGTGTGGTTCAGAAGGAAAGCATCTGTGTTAGAATATATTCTCTCCCCTCCCATAACCTCCTCTTGGTTATCACTCGATTTTCCCACCCTACCTTATCATTTCTTGATGATCTATACTGTCAGCAAATATTCACCAAATGCTTCTATTTAGTTATCGTGGATATACCAGAAAGTACAAGATGGTTTTTTGACTTTGAAGAGTTTGTTGTCTAGTTGGATAAAATTGGCTCATTTTTTGAAGGCAGCATCAGAGCCTCTCGGAGATCAAGAGTGAGCTGGACACTGCCTTTTTTGAGCCTCCAGCTATATTTTAAAAATGAAATGCCAAAACTGAATTTTTAAAAATTATGGTAGATTTTTAATGTATTTAACTTACTGCTTTTAACACAAAAAAATTACACTGACTAAATTTTGAAATAATGTCAAAAATCCAAGTTGATGTGAATGTTCATAGCAGCATTATTCATAATAGCAAAAAGTATGGAAAAATTTGGTTTTCCATACAATAGAGTATTATTTGTCAATAAAAAGAAATGAAGTGCTGATACATGCCATAATGGCTGAACCTTGAAAACATGATGCTAAATGAAGGAAGCCAGTTACAAAAGACCCCATATTATATGATTCCATTCACATGAAATTTCCGGAATAGACAAATTTATAGAAACAAAGTAGATTAGCAGTTGCTTAGGGCTGGGAGAGGTGGGAACTGGGAGAGGGGCTTGTGGAGGAGGGAAATAGAAATTGACTACTAATGGGGTTTCTTTAGAGGGAACAAATATGTTCTAAAATTAGATTGTGGTGATGTTGGCACAGCCTTGCGAGTATATAAAAAACCCCTACATTTTACACTTTAAATGGGTAAGTTGTATGGTATGTTATTTATATCTCCAGAAAGCTGTTTTTAAAGTCTAAATTGAAAGACTTTAATTAGCATGAAAGATCCACCAGTATAGGGTGCCAGGCAGTGTGGTGTAGCAGGCAGAACACTGGTTTGAAAGTTAAGTACACCTGAATCCAAATATTCTGCTACTTATCAATTGTGTGACCCTAGGTGAATCACTTAAATTCTCTGAGATTTCTTTTATTCACTGTAAAATAAAGATAGTAATTCCTACTTAATAGGACTGTTTTTTGAATAAAATTAATTTAAAAATACTTATTGAACAGTTATGGTCCAGGCACTGTTCTAGGCTCTAGGGATATGGCAGTGAGCCAGGACAGCTGAGGATCTCTACCTAATATTTCATGTAAAAAAAAAAATCTAGATCTTTACATGAAATCTCTCTAATGTAAAATATTGGCAATTAATTTTAAAATACTAAAAACACTGTAAGCTGACACTGCCAAACACATCTGTAAGCCAAATTCTAACCTTGGGCTGGCAGTTTGTGACCCCTGATATCGGCTTTTTGGATGGTGAATTTCTAGTATATTGCCCACTTGGCTGAGCCTGCTTACCTATGCTGCCCAGCACAAACCAAAGAAACATTCCTCATAAAGTTCAGAGAAATCATCCTAGCGAGTAATTGAGCAAGGCAGTGGCCTGGATCCCATCCATCTCTATTAGATGCTATAAGCTTCCTCACTGACCCAGTGAGACCTCCTATTCATTTCCTGTGCCTGGACTGAGCTAGCTGGCAGTTTGTACAAGATGGGTGTGGAAGAAACTTGTGTTCTTCATGTCTTTCAAGCTCATCTGTTCTCCAAGGACCTCTGTGGAAGGCCAGTTCAGCACACAGTTTCAGATGTTAGAATTCAGACCGTTTCATTTTCCTTTACCTGCTCATACCTATCACTTCAACTGTTTTCGGCCAAACATATAAGTGTGCAGTAGCAGTATAGGCAGCTTTTTTCTGGAACGCAATAATGGGTGATTAATTTAATCTGTTTTAATTCTCTAACGTATCCATGATCTCAGAAAAGAAAAAAAGTTTTAAATTTATCTTGTAGCTATTCAATTCAGAGTCAAACAACTTCACATTGCTCATTTATCTATCTCAGTTGAATTTAGAGCTCTGGGAAGAGAGAGTATTCATTGGCCCATAGTATCCATCAACTGTTACTTGGAGTGCTTCACCCCCATGGAGTCGTGGAATTCCCCAAAGCCTCTGAGTTTGACTTATGTCCTTGAGGCTCTCACAGGAAGAAGCTAAATGGAGCACATCAAATTTCCAAAAGCCTCTGCACATACAATGCGAGGTCGTAGAAAAACAGTAAACTCAAGTTCGAATTTCCTTCCGCTACTAATAACTATGTGACTGTACAAATTACTTTATCACTTTGAGTTTTACTTTCATCATTTGTAAAATGGGAAGAGTAATTATTATCTTATGGATCTATTGCAGTGGCTGTCAACTTGGCTGCATATTAAAATCACTTTTTAAAAATGTCTTTGCCCCTGCCACACCTCCTGCAAATTAAGTCAGAATCTCTGATGAGGGTGAAATCCAGACATCAGTTGATTTTAAAAGCTTCATAAGTCATTCTTAAATGCAGTCAGGATTGAACATAACTGTTGAGGATTAAATAATGTTACTTGTGTAAAACGAGTACTCTTCAGTTCCTAGTTATTCCCCAAGTTTCAAACCAGCAATTGACTATACTTTTGGTGTGTTCTAAGATTGCACCACTAGGTGTCAGTTTGACCATACAATTTGGTTCTTAGGAGCTTCTAGTTCCCGATACTCAGAATAACAACTAAGTACCGTCACCACAACCATTTGCTGAGTACCTGCCTTATACCAGTCACAGTGCTAATGATTCTCAAAGCATGTAATTTCTAATCCTATATTAGATAGGCAAGGTAGTTACTATCCCAGTCATGGGTCAGAGGGTCAGAACAGTTCTGTGACTTGTACAGAAGAATACACATGAAGTG